ACTGATATAAATTGTCTAATGGATCGTGTTTGTGAAAAAGCGTGACTTTTTCGCGCGGCAGTCCAGATGGCAAAACTGGTTTTTCATCTCTTTCCATATCGGTACTTTGCCAAGCTCTCCGGTAAATTATGCCTTTATGACTGTTGTATATCTCGTTTCCCCTTCAAACGTCTCGTCGATCGCAAGTGTTGCTGCAAGTGTTGCGTTTGTCGTGTAAGGCGCTTTCAGAGACGACTTCAAACTGTTACGTTGCACGAGCGAGTGAATTATGTTGCCTGGCAAAATCAACTTTCCTTGCTACGTTATTTCGCTCTGTTCTACATTTCTTTCAAAGAGACTCTTACTTTTGCTTAAATCCATCTCTAACCGAGTTTCGTTGAAAGCACGCTCGGCTCTTTGCGTGCATTGCGTGTGCAATCTTTTTGCGACAAGATACGCTCATTTAATCATTAAAAATACCGCATTAATCTCAATTGCATGAGGATTAATTCGACAAATAGATCAAAAAGAAAAAAGAAACGTGAAAAGTATGCGTCGCAATCCTATCGCGGCGCATTTCACAATCACTTTTCACAATTATCGATTTTTCGATCGCTCGTCCCTTAGCAGAAATTCGATGAACGTCCATCACTTATGGCAGCAATATTAAATTCCTTGCTGATTAAATCTCATATTGAAAATTTATTGAAATGCATTCAACATTAGCTAGTCGACAATATTTCGTAATCTGCTGTCTATCAAAAAGCGTTTAATTCCAAATCGCAAAATTTCGCTAACTCTTCATCTGCAATCAAAATTTTTTTCATTTTCAATCGCTTTAAATATCAAACCCATTAATGTCTGCAGTTGAAACATACGAGCCCGTCGTGTACTGAAAGCTCCCGATTATGTCGCGATTATGCGTGCGACGAGAAAACGGGAGTGGATGGAGCAGCCCTTCTGCGCTCCAACCCCTATAATATATCTTATTGTCGTGTTCCTGCCCTCGCTCCTCGCTTCCTATCTTCATTCTATCTACCCGGAATCGCCTATCTCGTTATCATTCCTTTGTAGTTTGAGTCTGTGGCTTTCCGCTTTTTTGTCAATTGCGCGATGGCGGTTCTAAATTAAGGTCTCTCCATTTCCTCCATCCCCGCAGGCGTTTCCTTCGCTAAAACTTTCTCCCATAATAAATGTTCAACCACGAGGAACGGTCGCATGTTATAGCCTCGATTCGCGTAACGGCACGCTCTCGCCTTGCTCTCGCTGAAAGTACAACCACGCTGCGAGTGTATCACCTGCTGTATACTCTACTATCTATCCAATATTATCAACATTTC